AGCCCATCATGGTCTTGACCTCTTTGCTCATATTCTTATTCCTTCTACTCTTCAACTGGACTTTGGGAGCTCAGTTTATTGCTCCGATGCGGTTCTCTGCCTCTGTTTCCATTAGTCGCTGGATGAAGATTCTATGATGGTTTTTAAAATATTCACCAGCCTGACTACAGGGAAAGGCCAGTTCGGACACCCCCTCCTCTACTGTTTAAGGTCTTAGCTGGAGTCATCCTTGTGGATTCCTGGGAATTTCTCTAGAGCCAGGTTTCTTTCTAAGCCCATAATGGCTCCCTCAATCAAGATATCTCTTTCCTTGCTCTCATCTCTGTCCTTCCTCCATCTCAACTATCCCATTCCCTCAAGTTCCCCTCACCCCTTCCCTCTTTCCCTTCCACTCTCCCTTCTCCCCCCACCCCCATGTTCCCAATTTTGTCAGGCGATCTTGTCTGTTTCTACTTTCCAGGTGGGTCTATATATGTTTTTCTTTGGGTTCACCTTATTACTTAGCTTCTCTGGGATCATGAACTATAGGCTCAATGTCCTTTGTTTATGGCTAGAATCCACTTATGAGTGAGTACATGCTATATTCATCTTTTTGGGTCTTGGTTACCTCATTCAGAATAGTGTTTTCTATTTCCATCATTTGCATGCAACATTCAAGATGTCAAAGCTCCAAAGCCACAGAGAAACCCTGTCTCAAAAATCCAAAAAAAAAAAAAAATTCAAGATGTCATTGTTTTTACCACTGAGTAGAACTCTAATGTGTACATGTGCCACATTTTCTTTTCTTTTCTTTTATTGAGACAGGGTTTCACTGTAGTTTTAGAGCCTGTCCTGGAACTAGCTCTTGTAGACCAGGCTGGCCTCGAACTCACAGAGATCCATCTGCCTCTGCCTCCCAACACATTTTCTTTATCTATTCTTCAGTTGAGGGACATCTAGGTTGTTTCCAGATTCTGGCTATTACAAATAATGCTGCTATGAACATAGTTGAACAAATGCTCTTGTAATATGATTGGGCATCTTTTGGGTATATGCCCAAGAGTGGTATTGCTGGATCCTGAGGTAGGTTGATTCCCTACTTTCTGAGAAGCCACCACACTGATTTCCAAAGTGGTTGTAAAGTTTGCACTCCCACCAGCAATGGATGAGTGTTCCCCCTACTCCACATCCTCTCCAGCAAAAGGCTATCTTGGTGTTTTTGATCTTAGCCATTCTGACAGGTTTAAGATGACATCTCAGAGTTGTTTTGATTTGCATTTCCCTGATAACTAAGGATGTTGAACATTTCCTTAAGTATCTTTTGGCCATTTGAGATTCTTCTTTTGAGAATTCTGTTTAGTTCTGTACCCCAATAAGAAGCCCTCTACCTGAGCTCTGTCACATGATGTCTTTCTCTCACGCACCCCTGTATGGACTGAGGGGGTGGTCCAGTGGTAGCATGCTTGCCTAACATGCTTGAATCCTTGGATGTGATTCCCAGTACCACATACACCGCACATGCTGGCACATACTTGTAAACCCCAGTGCTGGGGAGGGGGTGGCAGAAGGATCAGAAGTTCAAGGTCCTCCTTTGCTACTTAATGGAATTCCAGGCCAGCCAGGGACACAGAAGACCCCGACTCGAAAGACAGAGAACAAACTTTCCGTTACCTAGGAGATACAGAGGACTTTGCCTGGTCTGGTTTATGACCAAATAAGAGCTTAGGTTTACCGGACGATGGTCTGGGGAAAACAGCCACAGGGAGGAAGCCCCGTGTCAGGATGAGGTAATAGCTGGTTGGACAAAGTCTAGCCTAGAAAGAGGTGATAAATATTTGAGAATGATCGTTTTCAGTCATTCGATCCACAAGGCAGCCATTCAAGACAGAGGACCACCTCGTCCTTCTGGCCACTGCTTTCAGGACAGGTGAGGATGACAAACAGCCGCTAAGGGGGTAGACACAGGGAAGCTGAAGTCTCCGGAGACTAGGACTCTTCCTAGCTCTGACTGTTCTAGGCACCTGTTCACGTGGGGCATCCCCCCCCCTCTTTCTCTGAACTCTTCTCCTTCCCAACAGAGCGGTTCAACGGACCCACCATGATCCAGGCTGCCTTACTCCTTGGCTGTGTCTTACTGTCCTCAGCGGTCGCCTTTCCAAGGAACCCCCAGAATGGCGCCCTGCCCGTTCAGCCGGCCGTCAGAGAGACTGAATCTACATCAAATGTGCTCTCCAGGAAGCTCCTTCCTCCAGCCCCTGGCACCTGCCGGGTCCTCTTGAACACAGTGCCCTCCTTAGCCCCCTTACCTGAGCACTTGTCCCTCTTAGCGCTAAAAGTGGCCCTGGAGGACGTGGGCTGCCCTGCTGAGGCCCAGTATCTGCAGCTTCAGCTCAGTGAAGCGGGAGGGGAGGATGACACTGAAACCCTGGTCCTCCAGAGTCAAATGCGCAGCAAGGAGGAGGTTCTGAGGGGCCTGGGGGGGTTCCCTGGGGAACTGAGAAGGGTGCGGCGCTCAGGTACGCTGCCCAAGATGTGTACGGATGAAGGAGCATGGGTGCTTCACGAAAGTGCCTCGATTCTTGCTGAGCTTGCTGAGAAGTTCCCTTCTATCGACGTGGTTAGTGAGTTCAAGGCTTCTGTGGCCAATTTCACCCAGAAGTGCACCATCGAGTCTTGGGAACATTTGGAAGAAGTACGCATTAGGATGATGAAAAGCCCAGAAATTAAAAATGCCACACTCTCCACAGAAGATAAAATATACTTCACTTCTCGGCTGGTAGTCCTTCTGAAACGTGTTTTCATGAGCCTCCTGTTGGAGTATTTTTGGAGTTATTTTGGCTAGCAAGTCCTCATGGGCATCACGCGTACTTTCTCAAAGCCATTTAGCGAGTCTGCACACACAGACCATGTGTAGCATGGAGCTGGCAGTATTTCATGATTGACGCACATCTTCCTTTGATCCGTGTGAGCACACTCTCGGTATTGAGATATCTCCTTTCACCGACTTAACACTTTCTAATTCCCCAAATGAATGCTGTACCTCGGTGTGTTCATTTTCATTTGTTTTGAGATATTAAAGGGGTGGTGTTTTGTTTTTGAGACAGGGTCTCACTGTGTAACCCTGGCTGGCCTGGAACGCAGAGATTCACCTGCCTTTGCCTCCAAGTACTGGAATTAAAAGCTTGCCACACCATGTCTGGATTTGTTTTGTTATTTTGAAACAGACTTGCTATGTAGCCCAGGCTGGCCTCAAATTTATCAGACTCCTACTTCAGCCTTCCGAGTGTCTTACAAGGTTTATTTATTTATTATGAATACAGCGTTCTGCTGGTACATGATTGCACACCAGAAGAGGATACAAGGTGTCACTATAGACAGTTGTGAGCCACCATGTGATTGCTGAAAACTGAACTCAGGACCTCTGGAAGAGCAGTCACTGCTCTTAACCTCTGAGCCATCTCTCCAGCCAGGTTGTTGATTTTTGGCCCTCCCTCTGAGGGACAGAAGAAGCTGGTGGGTCCTTCTCTGATCATTCACCCACCCCTCCCAGACAATCACAAGCAATTCTGCCCTAATTGTTCATGGCTTCAGGGCCTCAGGGAGGGGCTAGTGTTTGAACTGGGGCGCAAGGGAGGAAGAGGGGTCAGTGTTGGGGAAGCCATCACTATCACACTAATCTCTGTTAAGGTCCGCCCACACTGCTATTCATAACCGCTTTCCCACGCTCTGTGAGGGGCTCTAACAAACTCATTGGCTCCCACGGCTAGCTTGGGTGGAGCTTTGGCTTGCCATTGGGACTTTGTGAGGACAGGACGGACATTGCCTCAGCTCTGTTCCAGGCTCTCTTCAGACCACAGCCAGAGGGAGGCAGTTTGAGAACTGTTTGTCCTTACAGTGAGGTCTGATCCAGCTAGGCCTCCCTGCCGCCACTGCGTCTTGCTGAATTTATTGCCATTTTCTTATAGACCCCAGATTAAGACTTGATTCCCCCCTCCTTTTTTTCCCCTCATATCTGGAGGTCTTTTTTTTTTTTTTTTTTTTTTTTTTTGCCAGATTCTGTTCCTAAACTCCACAGGCTTTTGACTGGTCCGTGGGGCCTAATTTCTGTGGCCTGCAGCTTTTTCTGTAGTCTGAGAGGCATGCAGGCTTTTTTCTTCAGCCAGATTCAGCTAGCTGCTTAGATAGGGGTTGTCCAGGGGATGTCCTGGTCTCTCTCGGTCCTTCCACTCTTAGGGAAAGTTGCGCCTCCCCACTATACCCCACCATACTGCGCATGAGCAGGAACAGAGGATGAACGCGTGGCAGGGGCCGGCTCTTGCTCGGAGTGGGAATCTTCTGTACTCGGGCACAGCCTTGCACGCTGCCGCTCAGATCCACTCCATCAAACCCGAGGAATAAGCCTGAGGTGAGACCACAGGCTTCGGATGCAATGTCTCTGATCACATCGAGGCTGCCAGAGAGACCCCACCGGATGCCCAATGCTACAAAAATGCACTGAAGACTGGGGTTCGGCAGCTAATAAAGGCAAACACCCCTCTGCTGGAGATCAGGAAGGTTGGGGGTCACCACAGATGATAACCAACCAGCATGGCCTGCTAGGGCAAGAGTTAGCCAGGCTGGAGAGAAGGCTCAGCGGTTAAGATCACTGGCTGCTCTTTGAGAGGACCCAAGTTCAATTCCCAGCACCCATACAGCAGCTCACAACTATAACTATATAACTCCTGTTCTGGAGGACCTGACTTCTTCACACAGACACACATACAAGCAAAACACCAATACACATTAAAAATAAGGCCCCGAGTTTGGTTTCTGCTACACTCAGGTATTACCTCAAATCCAGGACCTTAGGAATTCTGGGCGAGGGTTACATGCTTAGTGCACAATTCTCTTGTACTCGTCTTGGCATGTAGCTGTGTATGGCTTGGCACTCACTACCGTAGCCCAGCTGGCCTTGACCTTGTTGCAGTCCTGGCTCAGTCCCTCAAGCACTGTCATAATCATCTTTTTAGAGATACCTGGAGCCGGTTGCATGGCGCGCTGCGAGCGGCTGCGTGGCGCGGCCCTGCGCGACTTGCTGGGCCAGGCGCAGGGCGTCTTGTTCGACTGCGACGGGGTGCTGTGGAACGGCGAGCGCACCGTGCCGGGCGCCCCCGAGTTGCTGCAGTGGCTGGCGCGGGCGGGCAAGACCACGCTTTTCGTGAGCAACAACAGCCGGCGCGCGCGGCCCGAGCTGGCGCTGCGCTTCGGCCGCCTGGGCTTCGCGGGGCTGCGCGCTGAGCAGCTCTTTAGCTCAGCGCTGTGTGCCGCGCGCCTGCTGTGCCAGCGTCGTCTGCTTGGGTCGCCGGGCACCGTGTTCGTGCTGGGCGGTGAGGGGCTGCGCGCCGAGCTGCGTGCGGCGGGGCTGCGCCTGGCGGGGGACCCCGGCGACCACGGCTCGCGCGTGCGCGCCGTGCTCGTGGGCTACGACGAGCACTTCTCCTTCGCCAGGCTGAGCGAGGCGTGCGCGCACCTGCGCGACCCCGACTGCCTGCTAGTAGCCACCGATCGCGACCCTTGGCACCCGCACAGCGACGGAAGCCGGACCCCCGGTACCGGAAGCCTGGCTGCAGCAGTGGAGACAGCCTCAGGACGCCAGGCCCTGGTGGTGGGGAAACCCAGCCCCTACATGTTCCAGTGCATCGCCGAAGAGTTCAGTGTGGACCCCACCCGCACACTGATGGTGGGTGACCGCCTGGAGACCGACATCCTCTTTGGCCACCGCTGTGGCATGACCACCGTGCTCACACTCACAGGGGTCTCACGCCTCGAAGAAGCCCAGGCTTACCTGGCAGCTGGTCAGCATAGCCTTGTGCCTCACTACTACGTGGAGAGCATTGCAGACTTGATGGAGGGGCTGGAGGACTGAACCCACCTCCCCCATTCCCCGATCCCGTAAATGGAGGCTGCGGGCCATGAGTCACATTCGGCAACATGAGCTACCTGGCCCAGGTGTCTACCCCAATGAAGGGAAGCTGGAATCCGGGAAGGTTTGTGGGCCCTCATACCCCTCCCAGCAGTGGCTGGACACTCTGCTGTTCAGAAACTGTCCCTCCACATCTTGAATGTTCACCCTGGCCTGACCCCACCACCTGCGGTCACCTCCCCTTCTTAAAAAAAAATAAATAAATAAAAATAAAAAAAATATATATATATTGGGCTGGAGAGATGGCTCAGAGGTTAAGAGCATTGCCTGCTCTTCCAAAGGTCCTGAGTTCAATTCCCAGCAACCACATGGTGGCTCTCAACCATCTGTAATGAGGTCTGGTGCCCTCTTCTGGCCTGCAGGCATACATACAGACAGAACACTATATACATAATAAATTTTAAAAAAAGAAATATATATATATATATATTTCATTTTCTCCAACCCTGAGTACTTAATTAAGCTCCTTCCCTTCCCTAGGAGTTGTAATGCTCTGTCCTTAGGTGCTTGTTGACCAGTCAGAAGTCTAGGGAACTCCAGATATTCCTGGCCTGCACAGGCCTATGGAAGGAAAGCTACCAGTATTGACTGGCATGTTAGTGTCTCACAGTGGGCCCTCTGGACCAAGTAGGAGCTTAAAGATCACCTTGCATATCCTGGAGCCCCAGAGCACCAATCAGAAGGCTAAGGGACTTTGACCTCTGGATGTCCATCACGACAACAATGATCCCCTGGCCTCTTAGATTCCAAATAGAACAATCTACAAGTCCGCGACACGGTGGCTTTTTGATAATCCTGGGCTGACTGGATCAGCCAGGAGACCAGGTCCTAGGAGGGCAGGGTGATGAATGCCTGTCCTTATAGCACTTGGGAGGCTGAGGCAGGAGGATTGCTCTGAGTTTGGTGACCTGGGTTGCAGAGTAAGACCTCATTTCAAAAAGACCAACTTGAAAGTCATCCTCCTCCAGGAACTGATCCGTGGGCCCTCTGTGACCCTGGTGTTGATGGTCGCCCCAGCTTGGAAGAGCGACCTGATTGTTTGTATTTATTGTGTGCCGGTGGGGGCAGGGTGGGACCTTCCCACCACCTCCACCCTCGTTGTAACCAGTCCTTGAACTTAATAAAATGTAAGTGGGAGTGTCTGTACCCTAGTCTGTGGCTCCTGCAGAGGACCGGTTCAATCCCAGCTCCCACATGAAAGCTCATAAATCTCCATGACTTCAGTCTCAAGGGACCCGAGGCTTCTTCTGACCAGGAATGCACATGGTGCACAGACAGATGTGCAGGTGTGTGATGTATCTACATCACATCTTGAAGCAAGAAAACTTGACTCAAAAATAATGTGATTTGGGGCTGGAGAGATGGCTCAGTGGTTAAGAGCATTGCCTGCTCTTCCAAAGGTCCTGAGTTCAATTCCCAGCAACCACATGGTAGCTCACAACCATCTGTAAAGAGATCTGGTGCCCTCTTCTGGCCTTCAGGCATATACACAGACAGAATATTGTATACATAATAAAAATAAATAAATATAAAAAAAAAAGTAATGTGATTTCTCGGGT